GATGTCACTACAGTACTTTCTTGATTTCTCCATGACAACTCTTCCGGTTTTCTTTCATGTATAAAAGTAAATTAGTTTTCAAAACTCAATAAACAACTCATATTCTATTTGTACATTTTCGTATTGATATGTAAGTTTTGAACTTTGCAATTTTCAGTTTTTTAATATGTTAGGCAAAAGGAACGGAAATTACTACATTTGATCCAATTGTTTGATGCAAAAATCAACTTTTGCTAGGGTTGCCATCTAGTGGAGGTGCTTTTTCAGTGCTTTCTTTTTTTTCTTAAATACTTCATCATTGGTGTTAATGTTTCGTGGTATAAGTGTAGTGAACTTTGAAATGACATAGATCATATGAGAGACGTATGAAACTATTAATCTTGTTTTGTATTTTTATACCAAAAAAATGGAATCAATAGAATTTCTACACTAATATTAGTTAAGCGGATCCGCTTCTTTTGTAAGCCATAAACTTTTATTATCCTCGGTCGCGCAATATATATATATATATCTTACTAAATTTATTGACAGTCAGACAGTGACTCTAAATGTTTAAAAAAGAATGCCATTATCCATACAATATAAAACATGTATCATTGAACTTTGTTGTGATGTGACATTGGTATCATAAGAGATAAATATTATTCAACAAATTTAATCAAATTAGAAAGACAGTCTCTTTTTATAAACACTCCTAGCGATAACTTAACCAGTTAATAAATATAATAAAATAAAATAGAACAAGTAAGGTTGCTAGGGTGATGAGAGTAGGTCTAATAATTCATAAAATAATACTTGGATGCTTAATTTATAACATAAAGATAAAACACCAGTCACAGTCAATAAGTAACAATAGGTTTCCACTAATTATTTCTAGATTTTCTCATTGAAATATACCCAAGGGCTTCGAAGACATAACATATTAGTTGTTATCAGTGACGCAACGAATACGAATTTTCGTATTCGCCGAATATCAGCACGAATATTCGTATTCTCCGATTATATCGTCACGAATATTGAAGATGATGTGTACACCGGGTACGTGCGAACGTATGAATAGATGGTATAGTGAGATGCTTAGAGTTTAGACAAATTAATAGTTTCAAACAATCGAAGGATCGTTATTAATATGTTTAAACATATTGTCAATGGTAAATTTTACTGATTGAATATCTTAGTAAAAAAAAGTGTATATTCGCCGAATAGTAGATTTGATATTCGACCTTATTCGGTAAAGTAGTAGAATTCGTTACATCATTGTTCGTTCTGCATTATTCAACTATTTAGTTATTCCATTTATTGACGGATATATAATCGCTTTTGCTAAAGTTTATATATTTATAATAGAAAAGAAACTGGAGATAATAACGTTAATTTATATTATTCTGTATAAATGAAGCTTGTGTTATCAGAATAAGATTTAAAATCGTAACGTGTTTTTACTCGGAATACAAATACAACGCACTTTGCTTAGTGCCGACGACGGACGCAAGACACGATGGAACATGGCTAAGTTACATTGATTACCAATGATTTATTAGATTATAAGTTCATGATGTTGTAAAGCTAAAATTTCAGCTGTTTAGAAATTATAAAAGTATGTTAGTTTGTTACAGCATGGTTAGATAGATAGATAGATGAACTCTTTATTGCTCATACATAAATGAAAGTTTACAGGAAATTTCTTAATTCTAGTGGGCAAAGGAGGTCTTATCGCTAAAAGCGATCTCTATATATTAATTTTATAGTAATATATTTCTAAGCGAATATATTATATATTATAGTAATATATTTGTATTAGGATATTATTTTATAATTCTTTTGTAAATGTTGGCACACTACCACGTCCTTCGGCAGGTGTCCTTTAACACAAGGGTTGTCTGGAAAAGATCGCTTTTAGCGATTAGAATTAACCGCCTTTGCCCACTAGAATTAAGAAATTTCATGTATACTACTAATATGTATTAACTATAAAATACATATACACTACGTATACATAATAAATCTATCCGTTCTAATGCAGACTAAGATTTATCCAGTAAGCACTCGTGAAGGTCTCTCATAAAAACATGAACAGATTTTGCCTGTCGGATATCAGACGGCAACTCATTTCACAGTCTGGCAGCCTTCATAGTAAATGACTCTTAGTAGTAACCTGGTCTAGTGAGAGGAATTTTAGTAGTTAATTTAGTTCTCATTTTTCAAAGATGATCTGCCATTAATAATCGTCACCATCACCAGCATATTGATGTTCCTACTAATAGGACACGGGTTTTCCCTAAGGATGGAATCTAATTGGGAGAATGAGCCACGACGCCGGCCCATTGCCAGTTGGTCTGGGTTAAATACCGCAGATGTAGCCGGCTCCAACGGCTTAACAAGCCTCCCGAAGCAAAGAGGAGCTCGAAATAATAAATGGTCACCCATCCTATGATAGCCACTTATAATTTTTTTTTAATTAAGTTCCGCATTCGCATTAAACTCTTTACCTTATAAATATAAAATTTACCATTACCAAAACCCAATAAGTATTAAAAAAATCCGGTCAGAGACTAGCAACTGAGTTAACCCCAGCGATGCGTTACGTCACAAATCATGATCGTACTATTACGTTCGAGGCTGCCCCCGTGACCTGTTATTGTTTTCATACTGTTTACACCCAACCACAATCAAACATGTAGATAAACATTGATAATGAGGCACAAACACGGGTCTACTGTACGACTTATTGTTGCAAAGGAAAATCAACTCTATCTCAAAGAATTTAGTCTGTAAATTAGTTATAAGCTATGATTGAGATTAAGTAATATTCATCTTAAGTTGCGTTTTGCATCGTAACTCTGATAATGGATTAATTAAATGGATATGATATGAAAAAAAAATTAAGAGGCACAAAGGACATGATTTTTTTTATGCTGAATACAAATTTTTTGTCAGTCTTCACCAGAATTTTATTATAACTACGTTTTTTAAACTTTCGAATGTGGCGTTTAATAATAGAGGTATATTTGGTGAACCTGGCCATTTTTTGAAGAAATAAGTAAATGCATTTTTTCGATATTGTGACTGTCGCCTTAAATGAGCTTACATAATGTATACACGACTGCCCATCAGGTCTCAAGTTTCTCCAGTTGATTTTAAACTCTACCTTCAAAACTTTAAGGTTTAGAATGGAGTTTGACAGATATGTATAACCTGACGTGCTGCGAATGTACACGGAAAGATGGTTAAGTACTGAGTATTGACTCAATGCCATAGGAAGTACTCAGTACAAATAAAATTATCTATTGCGTAGGTACAAGGGTATAAGGTCAGAATCCTTTTTCGGAATGCGTTGTAGGGAAATAAGGGTATATCTTTCGCTTATTTGTCGCGCGAAACTTTTTTCATATATGTCTTCTGAAATTATTCTCCAACAACACGCGATTAATTACATCATGAAGGGTAAAATTATCTTCACGTTCTCAGGTGTGCTGTACGCCGGCCTCATGATCACGAAGTCGGGGCCCATGACCCTGGAGTTCAATTGTCGTTTCGGCGATCCCGAGACTCAAGTTCTTATGACCCTATTGGAATCAGATCTCTACACTGTCATGAATGTAAGTGTTTTTAAAGAAGTAGCTTTCCATCAGCGGATTTGTCGTTGGTTAAATAATAACTTGACCAGTACATTTATACCCAGGGAACTGTTTAGTGTGTTGAAAAGTAGCCGATATGTTAATCCAGCCTTAGAATTATGCGTATATCAAATTTCATCAAAATACTTTCAGTATATAACAATCCAATACATAGAATATGCTGTGACTATAATGAACTTCATAAAAATAAGCATAATTTAACATTATCTGACATCTACAATTTCTCTTTAAACGTTTTTGGAAATGGAATAAGTAAACAAAAATGGGATAGATATTGTAATTTCTTTCTTAACTATCTTTTTTGAGTTATTATTATTATTTATTGACCAGAGTTATTTTTAACTTTATTATGAAGTAAAGCTAATTCATATTTATTTTATGGCAAACGTTTTTTATTTTTTTTATTACGTGATTTTTTGATATAGTTATATTTAATTATGCATTAATTTTGAACCCACTCAAAATTATAATGTTTGCCTTGATTATGTTTTTGTGTACACATTGGAAGTACAACTTGACATGCTGCATTGTTATGTGATATAATTGTACTTCTGTTTAATATAACTTAACTATTACTTAACTTAACTATTACTTACTTACTATAACTTAATAAATAAAAAAGTAGTTTATGTATGTTTTTCATCTAAATAATACCTTCGTTTGTTTTTTATTTAATATCAATTTGTTTTGATAGGCATGCGTCGACGGCACACTGAACAAGTTGCAAGTGGCATGGAACACCAAACTGTCTGCCGTAGGAGTGGTGATCGCATCCAAGGGTTACCCGGAAACTTCCACCAAAGGATGTGTTATCAGCGGTATGTTATTATCTTTAAAAACGTTTAGTTGCAATTTGATTGTTAACAATAAAAAGTTATACATCGTGTTGTACAAACGTTCATTAACGTTTAATGACGACTTTTAGCTCTAATGAATATTAAAATTAGTCGCTTTAAATTAATTTAATTGACGTCTGTGCAACTAGGTGTAAATATTCTGCATTTCAAAGTGGATAGTGGTGCAATTATTGGATTTCTAATAAAACTAAATTGTATAAAATAATATTTAAGATGCACTGATATTGCAATGTACATAACCAAGAAGAAAATTAGAATCCCATTAAAAACATATGTACGAAAATTCACAAGTTTCGCAACGCAATTTTTTTGCCGTAAAGTTATGAAATCAACGTAAACTAAGTCGATTAATTCAGTACCTATCTTTCTGTAAGCAGCTCTCCAACCTTGTCATACATTTAGGAATATTTAACAAACTTGCACACCCAATAGTCACTTAAGTACTTTTAAAATTATAAAGCACAGAGCCAATAACTTTAGATAGATTCTTTTATGAATCATTATTTTACTATACTATTCGTTTCCAATAGGTATAGTAAAAGAATGTGTGTTTATGCCTGTGGGTCTGCTAGATGTACCTTAGAATTTCGATGTTCTATGAGTCAGTCAGTCAGTGACAAAATTGAGGTATTTTAAATTGCAATAACTTTGAAAGTACTCTTTCAAATTTAATATAATTTGCTAATATGCCTCGTTACGTGATGCCCTCTTGGTCACTGTTACTTAATCGCTTCTAGTTTACTCCATAGCAAAGTTGCAGGGGGATCAAAAATGGCCTAGCAGTGCCCTTTTTTTTGCTCGACTTGGCAGGTCCACTTCCGTGCCCCCAGATAAAAACAGTTGTAAATAAAATAGGAATAAGCCAATTAACTAGCTAGATGGAGAGTAGATTTTGAAGTTGTTAAAACACCGAAATCATTAAAATTAAGAGTTGTGGAAGATTCAAGGGTCTTTTGATAATGACTCGAAAAGTAATATTTTTATATTTCGGACACCACAATTTGGTACTTGAACATTTCGCGTGTGCTTGTTCGAATGAGTAATAGAAATATGCGTCATATTAAAAAAAAGGTTTAACATATAGCATATTCCCTATTGAATAAAGTCTATCTAAATATTTTTCAATATTAGTTCGTTTTCGTCTTGAAAATAATTATTAAAAAGTGCAAAATAAATGTGGTAACTTCAAAATATTCAAACGCCATGCTACTTGTCAGAGCGGATGTGACGAAAATGTACATGTAAAGGGATGTCGTTGTTACAAAGAGTTAACATCGATGCAATAACATCAATGTATTATGTCGCAAAATAAACAACTGATTACAATTTAAATGATGTTTTAGGCTTTTATTTCATAAATTTAGTAAATTATATGATATATTAAAAAAGTCTATTATACTTTAAAAAATCGATTAGTTGTTAATCGATTTAGGTAATTGAATAATAATCAATCACTCAAAATCCATATTGATTTAAAATGTCATATCTCTAGTCGTGTACGTCACGACGAGCGCGCCAAAAATTCTGCTCGTAGCTGTTACTTATTTTCATTAATTATTAATGTTGCAGAATTTTAGTTTTTCGGTGCGGAGTATTTTTTAGAGTTATATATCGATGTAAATTATCATATAAAACCATTTTCCAAAAGTGTGCATATTCCCTATTGATATGTACGGGTCGCCGGTGTAACTGAGCTTGATCGTTGGGCGGGCGCGTGGGCGCGTAGGGTTGTCGCAAGTGCAGTCGACGCCGGGGCTGGTGGTGTTCTACAGCGGCGTGTCGCGCGGCGCCAACGGCTCGCTGGTGTCGTGGGGCGGGCGCGTGGTGCTGGCGTGCGCGCGCGCGGGCTCGCTGCGCGCCGCCGCCGCCGCCGCCACCGCCGCCGCCTCCGTCATCGACTTCCCCGGCGCCCACTACAGGAAGGACATAGCGCACCGCGCCTTCTCCAAGTGAGTACACCACTCTTGCGTCACGTTCGTGCCATACCATACCATACGTCGCGCCTCACGCAGGTATATCGACATGTATTTTTATAGAGGCCTATGTATCTGGAGACACTTCGCAAAAACCAGTTCCTTTTTTAAGATCGATCAAACTTTATGAATTTTATGATAACTAATATTATACAGGGTTATTTGCGAACATGAGCAGCCTCGCAGGACTGAGTAATCAGCATAATGAAGAACAACCTTTGCCCTACGTGTTTTGATAAAATTTATTACATTTTATTTGATACAATTTTTTATTTTATTTGTCGTCTGAATGTTTATAACTGTACGCGCAACAAAAATATGTGTGTTCTTCAAATAAGCGTGTGAAAATACCGTTGTCCTTACGCTTATGAATAAAACAGACATAAATGTCACGGCACTACAATAAAAAATAGAAGTTTGTTTAAAATATTAAGACTCTAGAGCACATGTTGTTTATAATGCTAAATAGACCTGCAAATAACCCTGTATATTATTAGTGATAGCAATAGTCTATAAATTATCCTGTTTTTTTATTTATTTATATATTATTGTGAATCGTTATCCGGTTATATAACAAATTTTGCCTATCCTTTTATTTTCTAACAAAGAACTGGTAAAATCTAACGCGAAAATATGTGTTGTGACACTGAAACGTTCTCAGGAAGTGTAAGCAAATATGAACTTTGTTCTGTTATGTGAAAGGTTATAATGATCTTAAGATAACGAGTTATTAGTATCGCGTGGCCGATATAATGCACTCGTGCCTCCCTCCCTCGTGCACGTAATAATACAGCTTCCGTTGTCAACAGCGACAACGGTTTATAATTATAGTAAATTAATTGATATGTAAATTATTTGTTGTCTATGTATGTATATCTATGTGTTAAGTATATTGTTTTTTTTATCGAGAAACATTTATACTCTAATCAATGGTCTTACTTCGAAACCAGTCTCCAATACATTAAATTTCATATAAATTGGAGAAATTTGAGTTTTGTATAGTCTGACGTGGTGTCGACTGTACTTTAAGTAAAATTGAAGCATTTATTTGTGTCTATAAAAACACATACCTGGTTTTTTGACCCTCTTAATTATAAAAATAAATTTTAGCACTTAACTACATATTTATTTATACTTTTTCATAAAGATACACGTAAATGTAATGATAGGTGCTGTTTTTTGAATAAAAAAATAAGGATTGATTTTACTATTAGAGTTAAATTTAAAAAAGAACCTCGATATCGCACGTTCGCCCTGCTAAATAAATTATTTTTTCTTCTGGTAATTAATAATAATAATTATTATTATTATTAAATAAGAGTAGGTGCAAGTAGGACTGAAGTTTGTGTCAAGTATCTCACGGAAGTATGCGTTAATACGCGACGGAAAGTCCGTCTAGTGTGCAGGGTTGAATGTCGTTTCGTACATTAGTCCGCGATAGATAGTTGAATGAATCATCTGCCGTCAGATATGTACACCGACCTTAAGCGTAACACAGTCTACGTAACACTGATTTAAAGGGAACCAGCAAAAATAACTACTGCGACAGAAAGGAATGGGTGGAAGCATTTACATGATATTGGAAAATACTTCTTATTCTCTATTCAATACAGTCCACTATACTATGCTCCCTGATAGTTTTTACAACTTGATGTGTTTGTTTCAGTTCATAAACCAGGCACATGGCACGCTCATTTATCTCATATACATTCCCTCATATTTTATTAAGTTAGGGACACATAATGAATTGATTATGTATGTAATACATTTTTGTCCTGTCTTAGCTTACCACTTGCGATGTATAAGGAAGTAATGATGGTAAGCAATGGTTGATGTTGAATAAAGCTTTGTGTCGTTTTCATTTACTCTTTTTTTTTAAATAAACTCTTCATTTTGTTATATCGCATTTCATTTTATTTGCCCTGCACGGTTTGATTCGTAGCTCGCATGTATATGTACGTTAAAATCATTGTATGCGAGTGTTGTTGCTATGAGCTCACATATGTATATACAGGGTGTATTTGCATATATTTTATCATAATTTCTCTTTAGTATGAGTATGAATTGTTTTCGTATTAGTTAACTACATGAACTACATCTGGAAGCACGGTATCACCTTTTCCATCACCCTATCTATATCTTTGTTGCTCAGAATCGCCATTTGCTAGAGCGAGAAAGATAGCGAGTTGCCCATTGCCTCGAGAATTCAACAGCGTGCTATTGCACTTCTACTTAATTTCTCGTTCTAGCAAATTGTCTGTTGTCTGAGAATTCTGCATAGTGCTATCCGATAACCGCTATTAGATATCAAAATAGCAGTTAGCGCCAGTAATGCGTACTGCAAGATATAATTCAACCCCTAGTCTTTCAATAATTGCCTTAGAGATATTTAATAAAGTAAATTATATAAAGTTAAAAGTAAAGAAAAATATTTCTGATAAATTATAATTATTTGAAACTAGATTATGATATAATCTAAATAGAAAACGTTATACATTTTATACAATTACATGTGTGACATGAGCGTTGTATTTGCTGCAAGCGGCTAAGAACATTAGAGATTAGGTAGTCTCAGTTAGAAACCATAGTTTAGTGACAAATAAATCTATCTAAAATTAGTAAAGGTGATAAAGTCAGTTTAAGTTTATTAGTGATACAACAGAATAGCTACCAGTATCGAGTGAATCCGTGTTTTTCCCAAGGTTTTTTAAATACAAAATTTCAAATAGCTTTAATGTCACAGACCTTATCCATCGAAAGAACTGTGGGGAGAACGGTCGGCACGAACTGCATACACCCGTGGTCTAATTTCAAAATCTTTAAAGGGATTGCCTTTCAAAGTTGTGCAATTGTGATAGAGATTTATGGAATTATCTAACGTCGATGATGATTTGAATGATATGAGAAACAATAAAAATTAAGTTTAAAACAGTGGCGGACTTACCTAAGCCGGGATCGAAAGCTTTCCAACCAGGGGAGAAACTTTATATTAATATAGCGTTTACACCCCCCAGGTCATACATTTTTGACTGACTTAAGTAATGTTAACAATTAAATGTTGCCTTAGAAAATTCCAATTAACATCAAATTAACGATATCATTCATTCAATATCTAAAAAAAAACGTAATGGTCGCAATTGCTATCATATGTCCAATAGTGTGGATCTTCGTTCGCGTTCTATCGCAATCCTTTTAAATATAACATTTAAAAGACATGTTGAATTTAAAAGGATTGCGATAGAATTTAAATTTAGATAATTAAGCCCGAGATTGGTTGATTTAAAATTTATTTACGGTATAAATTTGGTAATTTGTCTGATAACTTGTGAAAGTTGCTTAGCGGGTACCTATTGCGCAGCGGATAAGTGGCGAAACACGACCCTGCATAGTTTAAGCGTAAGACTGCGCTTTGTTCTACGAGTAGCTCGGTGGCGTAGTGGATTAGCGCCGCAGCCCGTAATCGTAGTCGTTAAGCAACTTTCGCAAGGGTCGGTCACGGGATGGGTGACCAAAAAATTATTATCTCGAGCTACTCCGTGCTTCGGAAGGCTCGTTAAGCCTTTGGTCCCGGTTGCGTTTGCAGTCGTTAATACCCTCCAATTCGCATTGGGCCAGCGTGTAGGGTCATGGCCCATCCTCCTTAACCATTCATAAGGAAGGCCCCTGCAGTGGGGACGTAAAAGGGCTGATGATGACTGCCCTTTTTTGTGTGGGGCCGCACCATAATACTATTCATAGAGAACTATGGATAACGATATGTACCTTTTTTTCAATGCTTACATAATACTTTGCGACAATGTCCATATTTTTCGCTTGCACTAAGCAACAGACTATAATAATTCTTAAACTTTTTAAAACGGGAGTGCCGCAACCCTCAGAAACTGCGCACTCTTGCCCCACTACGTTTTTTATAACGCAGGGATAATTTATCCCCCCCCCTCCCCCCCCCCCCCTGAAAAGGGCAGGTTGGATGTGTTTGGCCAAACTAGTAAAACCCGCCATTGAGCGAGTCATAAAGTTGACTATATTTATTACGATATTAATGAATAATGTGGTCTACTTTTACAAAACTAGGCTCAACGGTCTATCGTACCTCCAAAGTGGCGTAGATATCGACGCGGCGGCAACACTAGTCCGTCAGATCGAACCGTTAGCCACGGCGACCCACAGGCGCGGGGTGCTCGGTAGACTGGGATGCTTCAGCGGTTTGTTCCAGCTCTCCGCTATGGACCCCACGCTTAGGGATCCAGTGCTCGTGCAGGGAACTGACGGTGTCGGCACCAAACTTAAGGTGACGTAGGATTTTTCTACTTTGTCTATGGTGTCGAGGAGCTTGTTATCCTGGTTTAAAAAACTAGCCCTGTAAAAATATAATCCAGAAAATATAAACATGTTCTCTTGAACTGTGACATGTATTTCATACGTTATATTAATTTTCAGATTGCCGAAATAATGAATAAGTTCGACACAATAGGTCAAGACTTGGTGGCTATGTGTGTGAACGATATATTGTGCGCGGGCGCAGAACCGTTCGCTTTTCTCGATTACATGGCGTGCGGACGTCTGCAAGTGGAGGTGGCTTCTACCATTGTTAAGGGGATTGCCGACGCTTGTATACTGTCCGGATGTGCGCTACTCGGTAAGAAAAATAATACGCAGTTGTTCGACCAACCGACTAGGAAACGTTAATTACCGTTTTTGGCTTGGCTAGGCTAACACACGGTGTGTTATGTCAATGGCAAGGGGTGTACACGACTTTTTTTAATATTTTTGTTTTGTAAATTGATTTTTGATATACAGGAAATATATAAAAAAATCAGTCATATATAATAAGTGATAATCTAAAAATAAACTTAATTTTCAAAATTTCCTGCGGCAATGCTAACTTCTGTCATGGCGGCGCTATGACCTCACGCCCCTCTAAAACTAATATCGTTTTTTGCGGTCACGTGTCAAAGAGTATAAAATATTTGATTTTTCATAATTATTTCAAGCAATATAATTTATATTATATATTTAATATTTATGGAATACGCATGAAAGTGTGATTATTGGTAATACTAAATTCGTAATACTATCAGAAAAGAAATATGTATTTATTTTCGTTTACTGTCTACAGCCCTATTAACCTGTCATTTAAAATTGACGATTAAATCGTATGTCATATAATACACTTCTCTGCAAACTAACGAGTGCGACTCACTCTTGGCCAATATTTAATCGATAATTTCCATTAGGCGGCGAGACAGCAGAAATGCCGTCGATGTACGAAGTGGGCAAATACGACTTGGCCGGCTTCGCTGTGGGCGTAGTGGACAACCTGAAACAGTTGCCCAGGACGAAGGAGATCAGAGCCGGCGACGTGGTACTGGCACTGCCATCTACCGGCGTACACAGCAACGGATACAGCTTAGTACAGAAGATTATGGCCGAGACTGGGCATAGGTGTGTATTTTTAGCTATTTTTGGTTTGCTAATTAAACTTATTGTTTTTATAATGAATTTTCCCCGTTATTCATTTGTCGTGGATTTTTTTGGAGTTAAGGCAACCTTTTTTTTCTTAATGTACTTTTGTAATTATGGGAAAGAAAAAAGGGTTACTCTTAATATTGATATACTCTAAAGTTTGATACACACACAACGTCTTTAAATCGCTTTTTATATTTACGTCCAGATAGTAAATAGTCGTTGCATTATGTTACCACAATGGATCGTTTCTTCCAATTCAATTTTAATCGTAATCCGTTGATTGTAAGGCTTAAAAATCACGGCAGACAATTGGCTTATTGTGGTAACCTGATCTATGAACTGAATTCTCTGAACTCGTGAACCATTCAAACTACCATAAATTATAGAATGCCTTACTTGACCACGAAGACCAAGTAACTAGATATTGAAGGTTTAGTTGAAGTTATAGTTGACCAATGTGGAAACAAAATATTAAAACATCATAATCGATATTGTGATTACACTATTATACCACTTCGTCTATATCAGTGGTTTTCAATCTGTAAGCCGAGAACCCTAGTAGGGTCGTCGTGCCTATTTCGGTATCGCCGGCAAAAGAAAAAAGTTTCAATATTTGTTTGATTGTTTCTTGTATTATATTACTTGTGTTGTCATTATACAATATTATTAATTAATGACAGTTTTCATGCATGCTGTTTTTGCCTTTATATAACAAATACATTTAGATTTAGTCATAATGTTCCATAAATGATAGAAAAAGAGTCATTTGTTTCTGATAAACCTAAATAAATAGACTGAAAGCGGTTCCCAGTATTTTTTAACATGGAAAAGAGAGAGAAGATATTCTAAAAGTTTGAAACACACTGGTCTATATTGTAGTCTTAAGCGTAATAGTTCGCGACTGAGATTGATCGAGTTGGTTCGCTGTCTCTAAACGAACTAGTTCGCTCTGTCAGTTCTTTAATTCGTGTAGATTCCTAGCTCTTCGCTCTTTGCAGTAGCAGCAGTTTAAAAATAAGCGAACGATCTGCCTTATATTGAAAAATCGGATAATATTAAACTATATTACAGAAATTAATTGCATTCAATGAGCAAGCTCCAGATAGTGGAACTGTGAACGAGACCAGTACGCGTAGTTCTTCTGCAGAAGCCGTTCTTTTGAACTAGTTCGTTTGCGAACTACACAAGACTATATTGTTCGTCAGGTACACGGATACGGCACCGTTCAGCGCGGCGGGTCGTTCCTACGGCGAGGAATTCTTAGAGCCCACCGGTATATACGTCAAAAACGTATTGCCCGCGCTACGTCGCAGTCTGGTGAAGGCACTAGCTCATATCACGGGCGGGGGGCTCCTGGACAACGTGCCCAGGATACTGCCGCCCGGTGTCAGGGTCAAACTGGACGCCACCAAGTTCCAAATCAAACCTATATTCGGATGGCTTCAAGCTAAAGGTATACTATACTGAATATATTAAACTGTACGTCGAGCGTCAAGTACTCTTGTTATTTGTTAAAGAAAATCTAATTATATATTTAAGAGATTTTTTTGATGACAAGATAAAAAAGAAATAATGACTATTTAATCCGTCAGTCAGATAATAGAAAAATATTAGATACGTATTTTTTTACTTCAATTTAATTAGAAATGACTAAAATAATAGAGATTAAAGTTGAGGAAAGAGGGCTCGTTACATCACGACCACATATAAAGTTACGAACAACTCGTGTATCGCCGTAATTTATAGATTACGCAACTTAAAAATATTTGATATTTTTCAATAATCTACACAAACAAACATAAATTAGCCAAAATGCCTATTGTTTCTAATAAATAATGTGTTATTCGTAATGGTTATTGATGGTGCCTGATCTGTAATATTACTTGTATATTGAAAACAAAATATTCGTATTGGGCCCTGCGATAATATATTTTGGATCGCCAGTCTAGTAGATTAAGAACCATAAAGAGTAAAAACAAGACCTTTTTAATAAGTCTCCTATGTCCATCTGTATGGCATGAACCATGAATTAATTAAAATTAAGCTTAAATTAAAGACAGTTTAAATTTTCAAAGATGATGTATTTTTGTAACCACTGTAATAATGAATACTTAAAACAGAATAAAATAAATATTCAAGGGGGTCTTCCATACAACAAACGCGATATTTATTTTAATTCGATCCGCACTTGGTCGATGTTTTTTTTAAAGTAGTAGCTTTCCGCCAGCGGCTTCACCCGCGTGGTCCTGTAATGTACATAAAAACCATCCTTTTGAACCATCTTATCTTAAAAAAAAACCGCTTCAAAATCTGTTGCGTAGTTTTTAGAATCTAAGCAAACATATGGACAGCGACTTTGTTAGGGTTCTGTACCCAAAGTGTAAAACTGGTACCCTATTATTAAGACTTAGCTGTCTTTCTGTCTGTCACCAATGTGTATCTCTTGAAAGTTAGACAGTTAAAATTTACACAATTAATGTATTACTGTTGCCGCTTCGACAATAAATACTAAAAACTAGAATAAAATAAATACCTATTTAACAAAAAATGATTTTTTTTGCTTGTTTTGCTCTATACCGACGACGACAACAGGTAGACGCTCGAAATATTTACAGATTATGTATTTATATATTAACTTTAAAAAAAATAATGAAAATAAAATGAAACACGTTAATATAAAACAAACGTGATTTTTTTGTTTGTTTCCGGTACGGAGCCCTACGCGCGAGTCGACACGCTAATGGTCGGTTTTTTTTTTATACTGTATATTGATGCCGTTTTTTTGGCTCTCAACCTAAGGGGTTCGGAAGCACCATTTCACCTACGTGGAATGAGACATCGAGACATTTGTTAGCCGTTAACCCTGTATGAAAGTACAGCTGACTCCCTGAAGGGGTACCTGATCGGCCTGTTCGGACGACAATTACAGGTATGGTGACGGACTTCGAGATGTTGCGCACGTTCAACTGCGGCGTGGGGCTGGTGGTGATCGCGGAGCCGCTGTACGCCGCCGAGCTGCTGCAGCTGTGCCCCGACCTCGCGCTCGTCGGCGCCGTCGAGGCCATCGGCAAGGAAGGTCAGCCCGATCGACCACCACACCCTGTGTTATGGATGGTTTACACGTCATTGAGTTGACAATGGCGTTTTACATACCCCTACATTATTGTATTTGAAAACGACCTACATTTTATTGTGACATTATGTTGGATTTTCAGTGTATTGCTTTATCGAAAAGTGTAATAAAAACATGATAAAACAAAATCGGGGTTTCTCAAAATACTGTTGATTACCGGGTCATTGCACGTCCCCAACTAGACAGTAGGGGGACGGACGGGAGGACGCTCCGATTCACTCAAGCCTCCACCGTTGTGAGGGTGTAAAAGTTCAAAACTATGGCATAGACATCTAAAGCTACGGCCGAAGAACTTATGTTAAGTAGAACCGACCAGAAACTCAGCAACGGCTACTTTTTCTCTTTACTTTATTTCATACAGAGAATTTCAATTGAAATATGAGCTCATAATTTAATTACATTAGACTTTGAAGTCACTTTCCATTACAGTCTTAAAAATAACAACAAAAAATTAGATAATTCATCCGTAAATCGCTTCTAACCGATTTCTAACCGATACTTATTCCCTATTAATTTAAGGAGGTCATCAAGTGGTGGTGGAAAACTTTAAAGAAGCGATGCGGCCGCTAGTGGAGCCGTATTTGGTGGGCGGCAAAGATGTGCCACAGAAATCACTCTCGTACAAGGACAGCGGTGTCGATATAGAAGCGGGAGATTCTCTAGTGTCACTCATCAAACCACTGGCTAGGTTTGTATTGTGCATGCGTGCATGCGTACGTACGCGCGTGTGTACGTGCGTACGTGCGTGCGTGTGTGTACGCACATGTAACATTTATTTATTAATTTATGACTCCTAACGAAAACATCAGTAGATATTATGGCTATACGTTTGATTGACTTTAAGGTTTATCTGAAATAGATATTAATAATTATGTATCAAAGTTCTTTAAAATGAATAAATTAAATCTATAAATAAAAAATAAAAAATGAGAAGGTAATAAAGTAGTTTTGCGCTCTGTCGCGCCGTCTTTCTCGCTCTCAAATTTATGTGTTTATATATTCGTGGTGGGTTGTCAACGTGAATAAATGATTTTTTTTTTAATAGCTTTATGGCTGATGTAAAAATTGAATGTTGTTTTTAGTAAGTATTAGACATGTCTCTATATCAATATTTACACATTTAACAATCCAATTTATCCAATCAATCAATTGAGATAAAATTATACCGTTTTATAACTACAGTTAAACTGTTAAAATCCCAAATTGCTATGAAAGTTTACACTATGAAATTTTGTTTGTATAGGTCTACATCACGATCAGGTGTTTTGGGCGGATTAGGAGGTTTCGGTGGATGCTTCCAGCTCAAAGCTATCGAGCATGACTACAAAGTAAGTTATATAGCACCAACCAAAATTACATAATGCGATATTTGGCCAGTTTTTATCCCATAGTATCTGAGACGAGTAGATCTAAAAATATATAGAAAAAAGGATCATTCATATAATAAGTAAAAATCTATAAAAAAAAAAAACAATTATCAAAATTTCCCGCGAAAACGCCAATTTCTGTCATGGCGTCTCTATGACGTCACGCCTTTCTCAAACTAATATTGTTGTACAAATGCATAAGGTTTGAAGAATCTATTGACTCTTCTTAATTAAATCAAAGATGTTATACTTATTATCGTCTTTATGTGAAAGAAATATCTAATGAAATACACTATATTATAACTTTTGTTCACACAATCAAACACTGACATTTTCTTCTTGTTTACAATCTAATATAAAGTTCCGGCGAGACATGCATGACACAGCCTCCTTGGTAAAGCTCCCATGCATGAATCGCCACAGGTTTAATTCTCCAAGTTCTTATATGAGTAAGAGGGGCGTGGCGTCACGCGCTGTTTGCGTTCGCTTGATAACGAGTATTTAATTTTTTTTATATTTTTTTAAGCAATATCATAAATATAATAAACATCAAAGTGATTATCGGTAATAGTATATATAAAAAAATGTATTTAGTCTCAATTATTGTCTACACCCGTATTACGTCAACCATATAATTATCAAATCAGTATCCATTAAAATAATGAAGCGCACGTTCTACACAGGACCCGGTGTTAGTGATGGCGGCTGACGGCGTGGGCACTAAACTGAAGATAGCTCAGAAGATCAACCAGCACACCACTATAGGCGTGGACCTGGTGGCGATGTGCATCAACGACATACTGTGCAACGGCGCGGCGCCGCTCACGTTCCTCGATTACTTCGCGTGCGGCGCGCTAGATGTCACTGTCGCTAGGAACGTGGTCGCCGGAGTAGCGGAGGGATGTCGACAGGCCACCGCTGCCCTTATAGGTCGGTGTCGTTCTCTTTATTTGTATATGAAAATTATTCGAAATATATATTTTTTTTGCAAAATAAAATCACTATTTACGAACTGCATGTCACCTGAATTCAGACTAAAATCTAAAGCTCGTGACGTAATATGGCGGACATAAAATATGGTCGTTTTAGCGCCAAATTTAAATTTAATATTTTAAAAAATGATACATTTTCGTTCTCATCTTTTAATATTTGCGGTTAAAATATATTTTGTACCCGTGTACTTTCATTTTAAAATATTTATTTTCAATAACCCTATTGTATGTATAAAATGTGTGTAGGTGGAGAGACGGCTGAAATGCCGGGCATGTATGAACCTGGCACTTATGACATCGCCGGATTCGCTCTTGGCGTCGTCGAGAGGACTAATGTGCTACCTAAAATCAATGATATCACCGTAAGTAATATTTTAACGTATCGACGGTGGAGCACTACTATTATTATATTACAGGTAAAATTTGTAGTCAGTAACTAATGCGTTGTTTTTTATACCTCATGGTTATTAAAAGAAGGCTCATTATAAATTTTAAAACGCACGTTCATTCATGGGAATCGTCTGAACGTATATTAGATTATTCTGCGCAAGTGAAGATTCATCATGCCCCATATTTGTTGGTGGTCATTGTCCTGTTAAATGTAGATAAAAACTTAACGCGTAATTTCGTTTTCATTTGCCATTTTATTTTTTTACATCAGGTTGGCGATATTATTATTGGACTTCCATCGAACGGTGTACACAGCAACGGTTTCAGTTTAATTCATAAACTTATGAGGAAGACTGGCATCCAACTACAAGATAAAGCACCGTTTAGCAAAGAGGGACTCACTTTAGGTAATAATATCCATTCGGTGATTTTAGATTTTATTTCATTAAAAGTCCGTTTCACAAAGTCAAAGTCAAAAGAAAACATTTAAATTAAACAAAACACAACATAAAAAAAAGTTACGCACAGCTATCCAAGACCAATTAGGGTAAACAGTCTCCCATGGCATGAATTTGTAACGACTACAATTATTTATTGAATAATATATTGAGCCTTGACATATTTGGTGACAGTTTGAGTAAATTCAAATCGAAAATTCTCAGTTTTTTGAGAACGATAATAATTATAATGATGTATGATAATCAGTGGTCGGAATTAGGTATAGTTATTCATATACTTACACTGATTTCATACAGCGAAAGAATAAAGTGGATATGCCTCAAATCCCGAGATTAATTTTAAAGAGCAGAAAAAATCCCGTGATTTTTTAAATAAAAAGTTATTTACTTTTACACAATTTAAACTACTGCACGCACGACGTTGCCAAACTTACATCAAGGACATTGGATGTCCAAAGATGTCCAAGATTGTCCATTAGAAATCCCGGGAAGGTCCACATTAATATCAACATTTCGATGCAAGTATATAAATAACTCTGCCTAATTCCGATCTCTGATGATAATTGACCACTCAATTTAATTAGTTTTTATTTTTTTATTATTGATTATATTTTTTGTAATTATTTTTTATTCTATTTTTTTAATTAATTAATTTATATCACAAACTCATCTGACTTCAAATTAATTGACTGCGAATGCTATGAATGTACGCCTTAATTTCACAATTAACTCACCATATGTCACCATATATCAGACTTTTTATTATTATTTAGAATAAGTAATAATAATTAAATGTATTAATATGTGTTATGTGGCAGTACTATATAAATGAATATTTTTTTAATAACGTATAGCTTGTCTACTATACATAGAAGTCTCTATATTTGAAACAACCATCATTAAAATATTATTTAAAAATAAACGCAAATATTGTTAACAAATACCAGGAATTTAAATGAATTAAGAAAAGCATATAAATATTACTAAAGCTTTTAATAATGAATGTATCGCATCCGGTGCGCCCCAGGCGAGGAGCTGCTGAAGCCGACGCGCATATACGTGCGCGCCGTGCTGCCCGCCATCGAGTGCGGGCGCGTGAAGGCGGCGGCGCACGTGACGGGCGGCGGGCTCGTGGACAACGTGCCGCGCGTCATCCCCGCCTCCGTGCGCGCGCGCATCGACGCGCACTGCTGGAACGTGCACCCGGTACCGATGCTTACACTACACTGTTACTCGACTGATTCACGATAGGCGATCGGACACCAATCAAATAATAGTTATTTTCAATGCAGTCGCTCATAAGGCGCTATTTTTTTAATCCATTGCAAACATCGGTGTTTACACCGTAAGTGAGTCTTTAAACACGTGTTAAATAAAATAATACTGAAATCCTTTTCTGCACACGTGCTTAAAAGTATTTTTTTAATTTTTTTTGGCCGAGCATCAAAGAAATTAATTTTTTTTTTATGAAAATATGTCAAAATTTAGAGGCAAAAGTATTTCAAGGAGCCTAGCACGAATATTTTCAAATAAAAATGTATGACACGAAAACATGTTTAATTTTAACAAATAATTTTTGCCTTTAATGCATACTTAGTTTTATTAACCTATATATTTGTTTTATTTCCTCACAAAAAGCATTGAAAAATTTTGTAAGAAACTTGAGCGTAATAGTCATTTAAGATACGAGTGCGGAAAGTAAGGTTTTACGAATAAGGGCCAAATTGAAAACACGAGCGTAGCGAGGGTTTTCATTGGCACGAATTCGAAAAACCTTTTACGCTCAAGTTTCTTACAACATTTTTCAATACTTTTTGCGAGGAAATAAAACAAATATATAGGTTACTAAAACTAAATATGTATTAAAGGTAAAAATTATTTGTTAAAACTAAACGTGATATTTGAACATGTTTTCGTGTCATACATTTTTAATTGAAAATATTCGTTCTAGGCTCCTTGAAATACTTTTGCCTCTAAAGTTTGACATATTTTCATCAATTTTTTTTTAAAACTTCTTTGGTGCTCAGCCAAAAAAAAAATACTTTTAAGCACGTGTGCTTAAAAGGATTTCAGTACATTTTTATTTATTATTCAGTGTTTACAATGAATTAAAAAAATAGCGCTTTATAAGCAACTGCATTGAAAAAAATTTAATTGTGTGTGGCTAATATGTTCTTAAAGTTTAAAGATTATTTGCCGAATGTTTTTGCTAAATAACAATTATTTATGTTTTTAAATCAATAAAACAACACGTAATTTTTCAATATTTGTAATTTGTGTCTCACGTCGAATGAAACACCAATCAGAACGTGTGACGTCATTTGTGGGTAAATTGGTAGTAAATGTAACTAGGAAAAGCGCGGGAATCATTCAAAGTGCAAAATAAATATAATGTTTTTTTTTTAATTTGTAACTTTTTCCAAAGATCAGTTTACCTACTGTTTTATATATTTGTGAGTTCACATGAAAGTACTGCAGACGATGATTCATTTTTCCACTGAAAAGCCCTTTTGTTTACCCCACAAATTACGTCACGTCCTCCGAGTCGCTGTTTACGCGGTGTTTGAAAAACTTAAATTTTAAACTTAGTTTTGGGTACATATTCTGGTAAATTTATATAATATATATTTTTTGTGGGAATAAGCGCCCATATTTATTAGTTTAAAATACTTTTTACAAAGTTGTCCGATCCCCTATTCACTAAACTTTGAAGTCGCTCAAACCTGACGCCTGAATGGGCATTTGCGTAACGTGACATATACATTTACTCTTTGACCGTAATGAATGTTTCAAGGGATAAAATCAATTTAGTAAGTTAGAATCAAGGAGTTTATATATTGGAATGAATATATAATCAATGAGATTGTTTGTATTTTCGGACTTTTTACATTTATGGACATTGACGACTTGGGTGCTCGTGTGATACAGGAGTACGTGTAATAGAGACTAATGTGACATTGGAGAAATTATGTAAATACAAATGGCCATACATTTAAAAAAAAGAAGACGGACTGGAGCATGCAAAATCATGGACAACTTTGGCTACCTTAGCAAATGCTTTAGGCTTTACCCAACGTTACAGGTTTGGTGAAACGTAAAATACACTTAAGCTATTCTTAATATTAAGTAATTTCTAGTTGAGCTCTGCTATATTCTTGGTTAATGAAAACGGGTATATGTGCGCCTTAAAATAAAAGGACCCCTATACGGGATCCCCTATTTTAGAATACGTTTCACCAACTGAACAGTCCCCTTAGTAGGGGACCCATGTGTATATGACACATTTTTTTCACTTATGTCAATTTTCTGTAATAGATGTTGAGTAGGGAAATTTGTCATTTTTGTATTGTCTGACGTAAAGTTGACTGTATGATACACAGACGTAGGCCATCTGTTTAGCTGAGAACCTTTTGTTTTGTGTAATAATTTCAGACTATTATTGTATTTGTCAGAACATTTATCTATTGTCATCATATTTCAACAAAATCATGTAAATCTGTATCCAGTTTTATCAGATCATATGAAAGTATTAAAAACTTCTTCAATCATAAACATGTTTAACGGCAGATGGATATTTGAAAATGGTTCTTATTGTTATAACTGTTAACGCAGGTATTCGCTTGGATCGCGGACGCCGGGGCCGTGACCGACGACGAGATGTTACGCACTTTCAACTGCGGCATCGGAATGGTTCTAATCGTATCTCCCGAACACCAAGCTGAGGTAAGACAAGTCTTAGTTGTTTCAAATGTCGTAAGTTTTATATCAACTAAAATTTACAAATGTGTCGTAAACATCCTTATTATTTAGTTTATTTTACTTACTACTTTGCTCGAATTAAAACATCGGTATATTATTTTATGTGCGCTATTAATTTAATAAAATAACGATAAAATGGTTTTGTCGCGTCTATTTTTAAAATTTTTGTGTTCTCGCATCCTTTACAGCAGAGGTTCCCAAACAATTTTTCTCGTAGACCATTTAAAAAAAAATACTGGTATCGGTGGACCCCCTGCTGATCTAACGATGAAAATTGGCGCCCTATTTTTATTTCACGCTAATGACTCCTGGGGGTCCACCTGGACCACTTAGGGAATTACTGCTTTACAGGCTCCGTGTTAACGTAAGACGAAGATGTCGGATATCTTTTAAAATAAAAACTATCTTTAAACAATACTGATTGTGCTCATTCACCATACCAATATTTTATATGGAAAAGCTTATATTAATGTAATTATTATTTAATCATATCGTTTTCTTTCGTCATCGTCCGTCCTAGAAGTGAAATATGAAATGTAATCCTCAATGTGGTTGCCCGTAGCATTGCGTCCGCCATTTTTACTAGCTTAAAAATAATAAACAAATGGAATTAAATACAGTAAAGAGAGGGATGTAGACTAATTTATGATTGTTTGTCCGTCAGGTAGATTATTGAAAAATATGTCACACCGTTGTACATTTTCTACATATTTGTGACGTATCACAAATATGTAGAAAAGTAAACCAGCAGGGTCTTTATCTGTGCCATTTCTTGTAAAATAATTCCGTATCGAATATTTTCCTTTCACCTGCTGGACTAAATAGATATTTCCCTGTCGTGAGTGAATCTATATTTGTACATACAGGTGATGAACACGACCCGCGCGTACGGCGCGATGGTGATCGGCAGTATCCAGGCGCGGCCGCCAGGCGGCGCGCGGGTCGTGGTCGACAACTTCAGCTCCGCGTTAGACTTCACCAGGCGGATGCCGCTCCTGCCCAGGAAGAAGGTAACCTATACTCCCCCATCCACCGCAGGGTCGACAACTTCAGCTCCGCGTTAGACTTCACCAGGCGGATGCCGCTCCTGCCCAGGAAGAAGGTAACCTATACTCCCCCATCCACCGCAGGGTCGACAACTTCAGCTCCGCGTTAGACTTCACCAGGCGGATGCCGCTCCTGCCCAGGAAGAAGGTAACCTCTACTCGCCCACACTCCCCCACCCACCGCAGGCTTGACGACTTTAATGAAGAAGGTACACTCTGAGCAAAATGTGTCGTCCTGGGTTTCAAGGGCTTAACTGTGCTTTATTGCAGTTTATAGTATCCTGTCTATAGATAAATGTCGTAGGTAGAGTATGAGTTTTCATCGATGAAGTGTACCAATGATACAGTCTAATCAATATTCATACACACTGACACTCTCCAATTGCCATCATAAATAGAAACATACGTTCATAATGAATTTTATTAGCCTGTCGAAAATGGATGAAATTCAGCCGAAACCGAAATTAAACACTCGGTTCTGCTCTCTTATTTACTTAAATATCTATTGAAATCTAGTGTATTTTAAAATACATTTAGTTGCATATACAATTAATTAAAATATAAAAACAATCAAGAACAACCGTTTTTACCGAGGCACCAACGACGCCCTACCTCTACCCCCCGCCTCCCTATGCTCCGTGTAACCAGATTTTATATAATATAATGTTTAAAAAGCCCGATCTTTTTATAACCCGTAAATAGGTATTACATAATGATGATATTGGCGCCTCCCCAACACTGGCGGCCGGGGCAGGCGCCTGTATTTAGCTCGGGGCTGTATTGAGCTTGCATAGTATAGTAGTAGCTTGTCAGGCGAGTAGCTCGGTGGCGTAGTGGATAAACTCCGCGGCCCGCGATCGTTGTTGTTAAGCAACTTTCGCAGAGGTCGGTCACGGGATGGGTGACCAAAAAATTCTTATCCCAAGCTACTCCGTGCTTCGGAAGTTACATTAAGCCGTTGGTCCCGGCTGCATTTGCAGGACGTTAATACTCTCCAATTCGCATCGGGCCAACGTGGAGAGCCGTGGCCCATCCTTCTTAACTATAAGGAAGGCCTGAGCCCTTGCAGTGGGGACGTAAATGTCTGATGACGACGATGTGTCAGGTGGCCGTGCTGGCGTCCGGCAACGGCAGCAACTTCCAGGCGCTGGTGGACACGTGCCGCGACCCGGCGCAGTGCATGTGCGCGGAGGTCACGCTCTGCGTGGCCAACAAACCGCACGCGTACGCCCTCACGCGTGCGGCCCACGCGCAGATACCCACGCTCGTATGTTGTTGCCCTAGATACTACTAGATACATCTGTTTTGTGTACTTGCTACTAATACCATATCGCACGCCCGGTGCGACACTGTCACTTTTGCAAAAAATATAAAAATTAGGGTATGTTCCGATATATACTGCGAGCACTGCGCAGTGGTCTTACTGCTGAAAAATCCGTTCCGTTATGGACTGCCAGTACACTGCTACAGTACCCTAGGGAAATTCATGACGTCATAAATTGCTGCCATATTTCTACTGTGAGCACTGGAGATTTCGAGGTAAGGTGCTCGCAGTGCTTTTGATCACGTGATCAGTCGAAACAGAATCAGAAAATGATAAGTTTCTAAATAAACAAAAAAAAAATACTTACGTTTATTTATAAGATGGATTTAATTGATAAATATTTTTTTATACAATTTTCCAATTTTCTTTTGAAAAGAGGGAATCTTTATATTTATATTCACCTTGCATTAACAAATTTGAAAATGGCGCCAAAAAATAGGATTAACAGTATACTGGACTGCGTTCCGTTTTAAAAAGTCACCAGTATAACTAGCTATAAAGGAACGGGCTTCCAATATACTAAATTGACGTCATACTGATCAGTGGTCGCAGTGTATATCGGAACATACCCTTAGTTAAATATGTAATAATTGTCCTAAAGCACCCCTTTACTTGGTGCGATAATGTTACTTTTGTAGTACGCATAGTTTCCGTGTGATTCATCTCATCTATATCTTCTAAAGTCATTGTTTTGTGAAGTGTCAGAGTTTAAAACTCTTCTGAAAAACTAAATTTTTGCATAAGTGACAGTGTCGCACCGGGAGTGCGATACGTTAGGATAATGCGGATATACCCCGAATTCGAATTTTAATTAGAAAAATAATATGTAATGATACCTTTCTTTGTCTGCTTCGTTCAGCTTCACTAAAAGACTGAGTGCGTACCCGAGTTAAAATAAACTACTATGATTTTTTTCTAAATTTTCAACGTGTTGCTGATGTTACACGTCTTAGCATAAACCATGTTTATAGTTATTGATGAAAATAATTAAATTCATTAAAATCCTGCAGTCGGAATCCCATGGAATATCCACATTACATCAATGTAAATGAACCTAACGAACAATGAACCTAAGTAATTACCTACTCCTATCAGTGATTTATTATACACATACATTCTGTTTATTGTTCTTTTTAATTATTACGTACCAATATATATATTTAATTTGATATTGTTTCGAGCTCGGGTTAGGTATAAAAATGAACGCCATTTAAATTCACAATCCGACACTTTAGTTAATCAATAAAAATTACAAAAATAATCAAATAACGATATACACATTTTAACTTCACAATGTCACTACTCGATTGTTCTGTTAGTTCACTGTACTAATAGTCGCTCTCGTATTCAGTTCACTGAAAGAATGCCGGGACGAGCAGCTTACCGCGTATTTATAGCGGCCGAGGTAGACTACCGAGATCTAGAATGTTCTAAGTTAGAACCTAAGCTGGCGTTGGTCCTATCGGTGTATACGCGGCATTACCAAAAGTTTTAGAACATTTCTTTCTTCCCAACGACCGTCCCTTTCTCACCGTCGTTTAACTAGACGCGTTGTTCCTATGGTGCTAGCGAAATTCAACTACAACACAAAGTTGTTAAGAAGCAACGCCCTTTGCTCCGTAACAATGTTACTTACAAAATTAAAGTAAAATGACAAAAAGAATACAAAAAAGGAGTATTATATTAGTAATAAAATATAAATTTAAGTTTTATCTGTTATAACCAGAGGTCGGAATTAGGTAGAGTTATTTATGTACTTGCATCGAAATGTTGATATTAATGTGGACCTTCCCGGGATTTCTTTATTTCTTTCTTTCATTGATGTAAGTTTGGCAACGTCGTGCGTGCAGTAGTTTAAATTGTGTAAAAGTAAATCACTTTTTATTTAAAAATCACGAGATTTTTTCTGCTCTTTAAAATTAATCTCGGGATTTAAGGCATATCCACTTTATTCTTTCGCTGTATGAAATCAGTGTAAGTACAAGAATAACTACCTAATTCCGACCACTGGTTATAACACCCTTAAAAATGTAATAATAGTTATAATTATTATTTTATTAATTTTTTGAAACATGATATTGTTTTAAAATTTTTATTTGGTCGTTATCTGTCACTACAAAACTAATTGATATTAAAACATGCAAAATCACTTATAGCTACACAATCTTACACGCCAGTTTCAACTGTTTAAATTCAACAAATGTATGAAGTTCATTTACTCCAATAGCAACGTAAGGTAATTTAATTGATTGAATTCATAAACGCTTATATCAAATTGTGTGTTGTTAGGTGTTCAATCACAAAGATTACGCGTCTCGTGAAGAGTTCGATCGCGCTGTGTCCGCCGCCCTGGAGGCTCACAAGATAGACATTGTCTGTCTCGCCGGATACATGAGGATCCTCTCCGCTGAGTTCGTGCGAAAGTAAGCCTTATTGTATACTAGTTTTCCCCCAGCGGTTACGCCCGCGTATATATTAATGTAAATTCAGGCTTAGAACTATCCGAATACCAAATTCCGTTCATCCATTCTTTCAGTAGTTTTTGCATGAAGAAATAACATCAAACTTTCGCCTTAATAATATTAGTAAGACTATTACCTAATATTCCTACTGCTGGGGTTCAGGCCTTCTGTACGGATGGAATTGAATTGAACCGTATTGGGAGAATGAGCCATTATCCACCATGCGTGCCCTGTGCAGGTTGGTGGGTCTTAACGACTACAGATGCACGTACCTTCCGAAACACGGAGTAACTCGAGATAATAATTTTTTGGTCACCCATCCCGTGACCGACCCTTGCGAAAGTTGCTTAACGACAACGATCGCGTGCCGTGGCGCTTATTCACCACGCCACCGAGCTACTCTGTGTTTAGTATGTGCTATCTAAAATTCAGTAATTACTAAATTAGGAGCCAATATAGAATAATATTCCAGAGTCGCTAGACATTGTTTGCCGACTCTGGGATCTCCGTCTTATTATATTGGCGACAGAATATTAATCTTACTATGGGTTTAAGCATACGATCGTTAGGTGAGGAGGCTTCAATTTTCCGAACTTAGACATTCTAATCGGTCCATTGTGCTTGCAAAGTTGGCCGTCTTACTCCAACCAACCCAGAAGCATAAAGCTTTTTTAATCGCAGGCATCGTGGAGTACGTAACCTATTTCGAAGCTACTTTGAATACAACAGATAGTTTTATAATTTGGCTTAAAATTCCAATTTTATATTCCAATACAAAGTTCTTAAGTCCTTAACCCAGAGAGAGAACGACTTGTAACAACGTGTATTCGATAATAATTTTGTGTATTAGATGGAAGGGTCGCCTCATCAACATCCACCCGTCGCTGTTGCCGCGCCACCCCGGACTGAACGCGCAGAAGCAATGCCTCGACGCTGGAGACAGGGAATCTGGCTGTACCGTGCACTTTGTTGATGTGAGTATGATTCTATCACCACTAGTACTCGGAAGTTTTTTTACTCACTAATATCTCATTATAGCTTGATTCTTGATTAACACCGCTTTTACGTCCCCACTGTAGGGGTCGGGACTTCGTTATGGATGGTTAAGGAGGATGGGCCGAGGTAGATGGTAGCGAGATATGCTTGAGCGAATGTTGCTTAAGAACAACTATCGCGGGCTGCGGTGCTTATGCTGCTCAGTTGTTGTTTTTTTTTTAATATGGATATTAAGACTTAATTTTAAGATAAAGTTAATAAAATCATGCGATTTTAAGACTCAAAATTAATATAAGCGCTGTGGCCTGTGAATCTTGTTGTCGAGCGACTTTCGGAAGGGTCGGTCATGGGTGACCAAAAATTAATATAGCGAGCTCCGTTAGCGTCGGTCCCGGCTGCATTTGCAGGATGTTAAAACTCTCAAATCCTTATCGGGCCAGCGTGGAGGGTCGTGGCTCGTCCTCCTTAACCATCCGTAATGAAGGCCCGGGCCGAGCCCCAGGGCTGATGATGAAAGAATTAGTGATCATCCGCGTGGTACGCAAACAGGAGGGCGTGGACACCGGGCCGATAATAACCCAGGAGCGCGTGCCCGTGCTTCGTGGCGACGACGTGGAGTCGCTGAGCGCGCGCATCCAGCAGGCGGAGCACCGCGCCTACCCGCGCGCGCTGCGCCTGCTCACCGCCGGCCGCGCGCGCCTCGCGCCCACCGGGGACATCGTGTGGCACTCGTAAGGGGGGGGGGCATATCTATTCTTTTATATTATGTATGTGTATGGACATTTCTACATGCGTTATAAGTTTTGTACTAAATTTACTGGTTAACTGGTTAATGCCTCTTTCGCACTGAATCCGCCGTTTGTCTATTTCACTTTGCAATTAAGATTAAATATATAAACGTGCTTTGCAATTACTTTGTCTCGCTCCATTATTATATTATAAGCTCGATGAGACAACTGCGCCCCTGTCAGTACGGTTTCGTAGCCGACTGCGAAAGATGTTGCGCAGATGCACATTTTAGCATTCAAGGTTGCCACTCGTCTCGATTTTACGCTATAACATTATAAATAAGATTTCATATCACTTTGCTCCCAAAAGGTGACAACCTTCTTCGCATTCACAATAGTTTCGCATTCGCATGCGATTGCGTCGGTGTACTGACGGCGTAGGGGAGGGCCAGACTCTAAATAGGCCGTTTGCCAAAATCATAATTATATAATGAAATTAAAAACGTATGCAGGGGGGGGGGGGGGGGACACGCAATATCAATAAATAAGGCCCCGGTTAGAAAAAGTAGTCGTTCCGGGCGAGGTTAGTCTGCCACTGCTCGTAGGTCACCACACCTCGTATATCTATATTAAAGATGCGCCGAATAGCGGTTTCCATTAACAACCGTTTTACTGTTTCCACATGAGCAGGTTTAAATACATGTTGATTTGAAGTTTTGTTAGCTTTATTGAACAAACGGCACCAAACAGTATAATTCGGCCGAATAGTGAAAAAGAACCGAATATCAACGAATATTCGGCGTACCTGTAATCTTTGTAGTCCACTCACCAAATATAGGGTATGTTCCGATATACACTGCGAGCACTGCGCAGTGGTCTTACTGCTGAAAAATCCGTTCCGTTATGGACTGCCAGTACACTGCTACAGTACCCTAGGGAAATTTATTACGTCATAAATTGCCGCCATATTAATTTGTACTGTGAACACTGGAGATTTCGACGTAAGGTGCTCGCAGTGCTTTTGATCACGTGATCAGTCGAAACAGAATCAGAAAATGATAAGTTTCTAAATAAACAAAAAAAATTACTTACGTTTATTTATAAGATGGATTTAATTGATAAATAATTTTTTATACAATTTTCCAATTTTCTTTTGAAAAGAGGGAATCTTTATATTTATATTCACCTTGCATTAACAAATTTGAAAATGGCGCCAAAAAATAGGATTAACAGTATACTGGACTGCGTTCCATTTTAAAAAGTCACCAGTATAACTAGTTATAAAGGAACGGGCTTCCAGTATACTGAATTGACGTCATACTGTTCAGTGGTCGCAGTGTATATCGGAACATAACCATAATTGGCTACATAACACCTGTTACATTAATTTTGAACATTAACATTGAAATATTGCTTGGAAGTAATTATTTTAATTTAAAAGGCCATAAAAAATATTTGGGAAAATACACTCGCGAAAACGCTGTCCGATGTTATTCATTTAGACGATATTCGGTTATGTACACAAAACAGATGCACATAGTATATTAAAAGATGTCAATAAAACAAGACCAGTGCCATCTTACGGTCGATTACGAAATTAAGACTCTTAATTTATAGTAAGAACAACGCCATCCCTTCCGACTCCGACGACCTCCGTAGCCGCACGTCGGTGTCAAGGTGTCGCCATCTCTGGGGACCCGGGTTCGAATCCCGGTTGGCTCAATCTAGTAAACCATCTTAATGTATGTGATGTAGCTTAATATTAAAAAATCTACATGTTAGAAGATCGTTTGTAGCTTTTGTGACACATATAAAGTGATTATTATTATTATTATCTAGGTATTTCATGTATAATAAATAGGCGTTGTTTCAAGACTAATCAGACAGTTGTCGCCAGAGTGACGTCACACAATGGCGGGTTGTTTCAAGTCACGTGGTACACACAAAAAATATAAACTTTTAATGTTAAAAATTTGATTCAAAATCAAAATTTATGTTTATAACAATGTAAATTTAAGTTTTTGTGTAATTTCGCGACTACCCGGAGGGGAAAGAATTTTCAAAATCAGTCTAATAGTTTCGAAACATATTCAGTGCAAATGGTCAGTTCGTTCAAATTCAGGATTTTATTTGAAAAATTAACTTGAGATTCATATGTTTTTAATACTATTCCCCAAAGTAAAGTAGCCAATTCTGATGATGATCAATGATATAATTGGATAAAATTACACAATTTTAGTAACACCTTAATACACAAGAAGGATAAGGACTATATTTTTAAAGTAATGGGGGTCTGAGGTATAGGTTTATTTTGTAAAAAGGGGTCTATATAGCGGTCCAAAATAGTTAAGGAATCCCTGTCTATACTAGTCGTATTCAGTCGGCGACCAGAATTGCGTTGGCACGATTATTTGTCCCGAAACACTATTTAAAAAATATTATGTCAACTTTATACCTTTAAACAATATATATACATCGGAAAAAAGTCGAGACCAGTTACTTCAATCACAACACTGCCTATACAAAACTGATAAATCAATGTTTGTTCTAGTATTTAAGTATAATAAAATGAGGAAGTATTTCAAGAAAAAAAACCACTTAAAAACACCACACTAAATGGCGACTCTAGCAAAAGTTGATTTTTGCAGGAAACGAAATGACCTAACATATTAAAAACTAAAATTTACAAAGTTCGAAACAAATACGAAAAAGTACAAATAGAATATGAGTTGTATGAGAATGAGTTGTAAAGTACCGTAGCGACATCTAGTTTGATTTCGGGAACTAATGTTTTTTTTAAATACTTCCTCGTTAACATGGCCATATTTCAATATATAGATGCATTATTAAAATATTTTTGCCATGTCTTAACTGACATACTCAAGGCATAAAAATGAATAGTTAATTGTCTATATACTAACACCCGGTTTTTGAATTGAGAATCTGAAGTTGAGGACGTCTCAAACAGTGCTTAAGCCATTTAAAAAGTCATTTGAACAGGTTTTGATTAATGATTTATAAATTTCAATTATCAGTTGATAACAATTTGATAAAACGAAGACTTTGCCATATGAAAACGTACAAAACTATCGTATTGATAATAATATGTTGAGATTTTGTACTTTTCTCAATTCAGAAACCGGCCGTAAGACTGTTTTAAAATCATTCCATCATTTATGCCTTTGGAATATTATGGAATCTCTTACTCCGTTATCTCGAATAGTGTCTTGACATTTATTATTTACATTCCAATTTTCAATGTATCCAATGTGTTAAGATTGTAATAGTGTGAGAATCAAGTAATACATAATAATTGTGATAGATTCAAGTGTAATGTTTTAATGATTTATTTCCATTATTTCTGGAAATGAAATTAAATCTGGGATATATTCCCACTGTACATATATAGTTATTAGATATTTCTACACAGTCATTTATTTTCATATGTGAATGCATCTTTTGTTAAAATTTATCTATATAGAATATACTTTTATTTGTTAATCATTTATGTTAAATAGGAAATAAAAATATTTGCAGTTTTCATTGGAGTTTTATTTGTTAAATGTATGTAAATTTATCACAGAATTTTCATCACATTAAGACTAGATGTGTCATAAAGTATGCATGCATTTTCACTCCTGAAATCCAATCCAATCCAATTAAAATATGTCCCCTGATGTCGATTGCTTATACAGCTGAGTCACAAAAGGTTTTGAAGAGAAAAAATGTTACTTTTTTCAGTTGCATACTTATATTTCACTCCCAACGTGAGAAATATGTATTTATTGACTTAAGGTTACCAAAACAGATTTACTAAAAAGTTGCAAGTCTAATTTCTTTTCTCGTCTTTATCTACATTTCGCTTATGTTTATTTGGATGAAATACATCTTCGATAGCTCTCATCAAAGTACTCAATAAATCTTCACCTCCCACGACATAATTATGTGTTTCCGTCTTATTGTTATCTTCAACAGATACTTTCTCCACAGAATGTTCACCATTCTTCAGTATATCATTTAAAATCTTATCAATTTCAACATAAAACTTTTGTTTATTTAACAGTGGTACAATCAGATTGTATTTATTGATTTTACTGTTGATAGTTTTAGCAAAATCTCTATAACTTTTACAGATGTCATGCCACTTTGTCTCATCATTATCATTAAGAGGGTATGGTCCTAAATACTTTCTATCATTACTTATATCCCTCTTGAGAAATTCTATATCTTGATCGATTTCTTTGCTCATTGTTATCCATTCTGGTGTGAATCCATTGTTAATTAGTACCTGTAAACAATAACTATTTAAATAATAGAAATTATACTCAATTGTATTCTTACTTTCTTTGGACCATTAATCTACATATTTAAAAATGAATCACCATTAAATATGTATGTACATGTAAAACTTCTGAATGACTGCACCAAATTTGATGATTTAGGACAAGATAAGTGTAAAAGAATTATATGAAATAGCAGGGTTCATTAATATCAAGATAATTATGTTTTTGGATAGTTATCATGATAATTATTTAAAGTTTTTTTTTAATACAGTAAGTCATTAATTTTTTAATTAAACAATATTTTATTTAAATTATACAAACAAATATAATTAACTGTTAACTCACATTGAACAAAAATTTAATAAAATAAAATGTTTTTTAATAAAAGGGGCCCTTTTAGACCCATTCTAGACAATTTTGTCTACCAGAAAAAACCATTTGATAGTTGTTTAAAAATGATTCCCCTTTAATTACAAGTCATAAAGTACAAAAAAGTGTTTGTGTAGTGTTTTATAATTAATAAGGTATATTTATCAAGATATTTATTACAATTATTATCAGTCTGAACCATAAAAAAGTAAATAAAATATGGCAGTATGAATTTCACAATAATGTTGTTCAAATCCCTATAATGTAAAAAAAGACGAACCTCATTCAATTTATGTGTAATGAAATCAACATACGGATTTGTATTCTGGTCTTTCAAAGGTTTTCCTTTACCGCTTAAATTTTCAAATTCTCCTTTTGACATAGATTCTTGTATCAAATCCTCAACTAGTCTGTCAAAGCCATATTTTGTTTTAATATCATGCTTTTTGTCAGGAGTAGCACCTTTCTTCATGAGTGCGTTTTCTGAAGCAATAGCTTTAGCCATCCTGTGTTCTAAGACATTAGTTGCTGCCTTTTGGGCTTTTGCTTGAGCCCACTGCTTTTGACGTTGGAATGGTGTACCATAACCCATACCTTCAAAACTTAAATATTGTCTGTGTTGTGGTGCTGTATGCTGAAAATTAACATTATATTACTGTAAATAATTAACAAGGTTATTATATATTAATGAATATGAGATATGTACCCTTATGTCATAGACAATCGTGTCAATCTCCTCATTGTTTACAACCCCAGTATTGTGTTTGGTTAAGAATCGAAATGCATTCTCAATTGCAACAAATTTATTCATATCAGCTTCAGGAGATCCAGAGTCAGGGTGGTATTTTTTGGCAAGTTCCAAGAATGCATTGCGGACCGCTTCTTGCTTAGAATGCATTGGTAGGTTTAATAAATTGTAACATTCCTGAAATCATTGCCGGATTGGATTTTCAAAGAATCTTATAAAAGCTATTATTTTTATACTTTCTATACTCTAATATTATTGGTAAATATTTAAAAAACATACACATAATGTAAATCTACACAGGTTAAAGTTAATTGTGATGTAACACCACAATTTAAATTGTTAGCTTTGAATATGAACTAGATTGTTACAATTAAAAGTTTTATGTCAATTTGTTTTTCAATGATAAATGCTTGGTCAACGAAAAGGTGGACCAAGAAACAAATAACGAGTCTATACTACAAAAATAACGTTGACATAGGTAAGGTGTTATAGTCTGGTATATAATCAGGGCTGGCCCTTTCATAGAGGCAACTGCCTTTAGCGCCTGTTTTTGGGAGGGCGGAATGGCATAGCAAACAGTTTGCCTTTTGCTAAGGAGTCTATGCTGAATCCAAAAGTACATTTTTAGATTATCTGTTCCTAGGCAATATCTTTTGTCATTGGCAAAATTAGTTGGTGTACCTCAGGTAGTTATTTTTTGTTGTGATTTTTAAAGATTTTCAGGGTTTTACTTAGGGCGCTGAGTTTCATTGAGCCGGCGCTGTATAATAATATACTGTATACCTGAATTTTCATTTCATTTGTCTTAGAAGAAGCCAAACTTCTTATGCATATAGATTTAAGTAATGGGTGTGGACCCACAGACCCACATTTCATATAATTTACACGATAACCTACGGAGTTAATCATGTTGGTGCTCATTTTTATTGAATAAGTCTTTTTTTTTTTGCAATACAATATAAATTTTCATTTTAATTATTTAAAGCATTTTATACTTTACGTAAATACAAAAAAAAAAAAGAGTAAACAAATTGACATGCTTCTTTGTTTAAGGTAAAAGCATCTAGCTTGTACGGCTCAGTATTATGTATTATCTGTGCAACACCTTAATATTTTTTCAGAAAGACGGGGTAGGACTGAGCTAAAACTATCGATATATAAAAATATCGATATTTTTCAGAAATAATATCGATATAAATCAGCGATATTTTGTTCCCGCGATATATCGTCTTTCGATATTTATTTTTTAGATATCAAATTCATATCTTAATCGATACATTTTTTAAAGTTCTGCTGTCTACCCATACGTACTCTGCTGTCTAAAAAAAAAATTAAATGTATGTGTTTAGAAATTACAGTCTATGACCTGTTTATCTTTTGATTTGTTTCTTTATGACAATGACACTGCTTGTTGGTTTGGTTGGTATCACTGAGAGTGCTCCTGATGTTAATATCAGACAAATACTGATTTGTTTGAATAATGTAATTTTTGTTGTGTTGTGTTCTTGACTTTATGTACCTATTTTAAATAACAAAACAGCCTGTTTGTTTATATGCTTTAAAATTTCGAATATTTTGTCAATTTTTATAGATAATCGCTTACTACTTAGAAAATATCGATATATTTTTGATCATATATATCGATACATTTGAAAAGTATCGATACAATATATATCGATATACGGCACACCACAACTATTTCTTAGTGATGTGACTCGAGGCCTGCCTGTTTTTACTCGAGTTACTTGAGTGAATTTCTCAAACTTGTACTCGATTAAAAAAAATATCACCTGAGTCTCTATGTCATCGAGTTATCAAGTCAACTCGGTGCATTGAGTTGATTCTCTTGCCACTACATGTCGCTATGCTGCTCTAATTTATTAATTTATGAGCTTACTTTTTAATTTTCTTGATTACTTAAATAAATTATAAGTCAAAACTCTTTTGATGTCTATTTTATTTATAATAAGTATGTATGTGTTTAAAATTTCTAAGAGACATCTTACTCGAGTAACACGTTTGAAAAAACTCAAGACACTCGAAAACTAGTGTATGACTCGAATGAGGTAGTTAATTCTAAAAACAAAATCCTACTCAAGTCGCTTATTTAAGCCACTTTTTCAGTAATTTCCGTTCCTTTTATAACATATTAAAAACTGAAATTTGCAAAATTCGAAATAAAGATATCAATACAAATACGAAAAAGTACAAATAGAATATGAGTTGTTTATTGAGTTTTGAAAAAAATTATTTACTATTGTACATGAAAGAAAACCGGAAAGGTTGTAATTTAGAAATCAAGAAAGTACCGTAGTGACATCTAGTTTGATTTCGGGAACTAATTTTTTAAATACTTCCTCATTGGCGTTACTTTTTATACCGAATCCGAACACGTAACAGTATTATGAGCATCCTGATAGATAATAATCTGATAAGGTCACATCTTAGAAACTACAGACAAAATATGTTCAGCTTTAGTAAAATAAGTAAAGTAAACGCAACATTTTTAGGAAATTACGAAAACAACCTGCAATTGGTTGTCGTCGCAACCAATAACAGGTTCTGTTTACCGACTTGTGAAGTCACACATAAACAGTAAACTGTCATGTCAAAACATTTTTATTAAAGATACGCAAAATTTGTATTTACACATACAATTTGTAGTTAAATTTTATACACAAAACCAGAGTTATACACAAAACATAAAAGTTAACTTCAATTTCTCTGTTGTAATACTTTCTGTTTACTTACGAAATAAATATTAGATAAATATGTTACGTCGCCTTAAATCATAACATTACTCTTTGCCTATTTTTTTTTATGGAATAGGGGGCAGACAAGCAGATGGATCACCTGATGGTGAGTGATTACCGCCGCCCATGGACACCTGCAACACCAGAGGAGCTACAAGCGCGCTGCCGGCCTTTGAGGGACGAATATGCTCTACGCTTGAAAGTTTGAAGGTCGTACCGCTGGCGACAAACTATTCCAGAGTTTGGCTGTGCGAGGCAGAAAACTTTATTATTTAATATTTACAGGCATGTGACATCACAAATACCAAGTGTAGAAATGATTAACTCGACATTCAAGGAATTAGCTTTTATTATTATTGTAACAAACACACTACTCACAAAGTACAACCTAGCCAAGCCAGCCTCCATAGTTCCATAGATAATCTCTAACCGACAATATAATATGCGCGGGCTGTCATTAGTGTTGCCCTACCACAACATCCTTCCTCTCAAGATTTCTTTATAATTCACAATCATAATCACTTAAATATCTAGGTCTCTTTCTTATTCTACGTTTCATCAACTCTTCTTGAATTATACAATTATTATCCTCTGTAACACTGGAAAACTGTTCATTACTATTGCTTTCATTATCACTACTTTCTAATAAACTATTATTATTATTTAAATTTGTTGTTATTTCTTCATCTCCCTGACACTTATTATTACAATCAGATTTACTGTTTTCTTCCCCTTCTAAAAATTTCTGACCAAAGCCCATTTCTGAACAAACTTCAGACTCTTGTTCAACATTTGTTGATTTTACATTAGGTTTATTTGAATTGAAAGGCGCTGGAATCAGATGCCATCTATTACGTCTATAAGTAAACCCTTGAATATCAATATAATAAGATCTAGGTTCCTTCGCCTTTCTTACAATCACACCATATTTTCTCAGGTCAATAACCCAAACATGTTCTCCTATTTGCAAATCACTTAGATGTGAACTCTTATGTCTATTATTATAATTAGTTGCCATTCTATTTCTAAACTGTGACCTTTTTACTTTAAATCTTTCTTGTAATTTTGCTTTAACATCAAGTTGATCAGGATAAATAGGTAAAATTTCTTTCAATTTTCTATTAAATACTAATTCATTAGGGCTATAACCAGACTCACCAGGAGTATTTCTGTAAACCAGAAGTGCCAAATTAATATCCGTATTTTTTTTCAACAACATTTTCACAATTTTAACTGCAGCTTCTGCACACCCATTACTCTGTGAGTAATAAGGACTACTTATAATATGTTCAAAATTATACTTGACAGAAAAATCTTTAAATTTGCTTTTAAATTGTGGCCCTCCATCTGTACGTACTATGTCAGGTATGCCGAATCTGGCAAATGTCTCTTTACATTTAGTTATAATAGTTTCTTCTGTTAAGTTAGTTAATTTACATAATTCAATAAATCTCGAGTAATAATCAACAATTACAATATACCAATAATTATTAAACTTAAATAAATCTATTCCCACCTTCTGCCATGCTCTATTGGGCACATCTTCTACTATCATTGGTTCTTTTAAATTGTGTCTTTCTTGTATACATTCAGGACAGTTTTCAACTATAATTTTTAATTGAGATGATAAGCCTAACCACCAAACACTCTGCTTTGCCCTTTCCCTGCACTTGGATATACCTAAGTGACCTTGATGAATATCTTGCAATACTAATTTTTGTAAAGCTACTGGAATAACTAATCTAGTGTTGTAAAGTAAATATCCATTCTTTACTGAAAAACAATGTCTAAACTGATAATACATTTGTAAACACTTAGGTACATCCTTTCTGTGTGGCCATCCCTTTTTAGTATATTCGGTAATTTGGCAACAAACCTTACATTTTCCTTGTTCTATTTTTATTTTATTTAATTTATGATCACCCACCCCTCCATACTCAATGCTATTTATCTGTAGATCGACCTCCGGCACTGTGCAGGGCAAGGGTGAGCGAGATAATGCATCCGCTGTAACTAATTTTTTTCCTGGAACATAAACAATGTCATATGTGTACCGCATTAATTGTAATCGAAACCGCAGTAAACGAGGTGTTAAATCATCAAGAGGTTTTGATTGCAATATTTGCAACAAAGGTTTATGGTCTGTCTCTAAAAGAACTGTTATACCTACAACATAGTCTCTGAATTTGTGAACAGCCCATGCTAAAGCCAAACATTCCTTTTCAATCTGAGCATAATTTTTTTCTGTTCTATTTAATGTTCTACTTGCAAATGACACAACCTCCCTTTCCCCTTTAGAATTTTCTTGCATCAATACTGCCCCCAAACCATAAGAACTACTATCTGCAGAAATAATTACTTTTTTGTTAGGATCGTAATGACATAATACTGGTGCTCTTTGAATCAGCTGTTTTATTTTGTCAAAAGCATTTTCTTGATAACTCCCCCAATAATATAAAACCCCATCTTTTAAGAGTTCATTCAGTGGTTCTAATATATTTGACTTATCTGGTATAAATCTTCCTACATAATTAACAAGCCCTAAGAACTGCATTAATTCTTTTTTATTGTTTGGTTTTTTATATCTTTTAATACTTTCTACTCTATCAGGATCTAAAGATACTCCTTCAGAAGTGATAATATGGCCTAAATATGAAACTGTTTTAACTCCAAACACACACTTTTCTTTATTAATTGTAATACCTTCTCTTGATAACCTCCTAAGCACCTCCCTAAGTAGTATTTTATGACTTTCTATGTCCTCAGTATATAACAATAAATCGTCAACATGTTGAACTATTCCTTCAAGATTTTGAAACAAATTTGAAAATTTCATGGAGAAATACTCGGGTGCACAATTGAGGCCCATTGGTAATCTATTGTACATGTATCTACCAAATGGTGTAAGTATGGTAGTTAGTTTTCTAGAAACCTCACTTAAATTTATTTGGTGGAAACCTGTTGTTGCATCAATTTTAGAAAAAAACTTTGCACCCTTTAACCTACCCAATGTAGTCTCTACTTTAGGTATAGGAAAAATATGCCTTTTAACATTTTTATTCAATTGAGTATAGTCTCCACATATTCTAACCCCCCCATTATCTTTAGGAACTGCTACTATTGGTGACACAAATAATGTGGGCTCCTCAATAGGAGACAGTACGCCTATAGAAACTAGTCTATCTAGCTCTCCCTTTACTTTATTTAATAATGGAATTGGTACAACTCGTGGTGTTGTCTGCACAAATGGTTTTG